GTATGTCTACAAATCACTGAACAGTGTCCCCCCCCATCTCTCTGATTTGCTACAACCGTATGTCCCACCACGCTCCCTGACGTCAGCGGACCAGTTGCTCCTCACAGTTCCAGGAACTCGTCTTAAGCGCAGAGGTGACAGGGCCTTCTCTGTAGCAGGACCAAGACTCTGGAATGAGTTGCCTCTGCTTGTCAGACAGGCCCCCTCCCTCTCGGTTTTCAAGTCCCGTTTAAAAACTCACTACTATTCAATAGCTTTCAACACAAGATGATCTGTGTTTGATCCTGTATGCTCCACACTGGTTTGTCATCATTATTTGCATCGTTTTTTGTCTATATTCTGATTTACCTCATTTTGTATTTTGCTTTGTGTGTTACCTGTTGTTTTGTCTGTACAGCACTTTGGTTGGCTTTGTAGCTGTTTTAAGTGCTTTATAAATAAAGTGGTATGGTATGGTAATAAGGCGCTATTTAATACGACAAATCCTGTTGGCAGGCCTCAGACTGATGAAAAACCTAACATTTCTTCCAAAAAGAAACTGTCCAGATGACATAATTTAACTTTTCTGTCTTTTATTTTTTACTTTTAGTAGTTCGGTTGTTCAGAAAAAAGTATGATTGAATTTAAAAAAATGAAGAAAAAACAAATTAATTAAAGATAAATGCTTGGACACTGCAAGCGTAACAGGTTAATAATATTATTCCAAGTAATGCTTGGAATTCCACCAAATCAGTCATGATTTGTTTAAAAAAATTAGTATTTTTCTACTGTCTGAGCAGAGCTGGAATATGTCCTACTGCACTTGAACGCAGCAGGTCACGTAGGTCAGAGGCGCTGTTTTGGGCTGTCGGAGGTAAAATGTTCAGAGTCCTGCTGTAATCCAGTTCTCTTTCTTGATTCACATTAAGTTGTATATGTACTTGTGTGGGAATAGGAATGTTGTTTATTTGACCACAGAACGTTGTTTGGCCTGTGTGAGTTGAAATATACTATTTGAATGTAGTAAGCTAATGCTAGCTTGTGTCACAGTTATGCTATCGCTAGCTTAATTTCACGCCAAGTGTTGGGCCTTTTTTTAGTTTTACGATTTTTTTTTTAATTTATTTTGTGTCTTAACAAAATAAAGACAAATCAAAACAGATAACAGATTTGTAACAGGTGACAGCTGGACATTAAAAAAATAAATTCAGTATCACAACTGCAACCCAGGATCAGATCTGTTCAGTGGGTTATGACATTTAGCTAAGAGTCCGAGTCAATTAAACACGCATAAGTGTTTCAAATAGGTGAAATGTTTTGGCAAACTTTCTAATAAATGTTGCAATATAAGACACAATCAAAGTCACTTTTGTAGCTTCTGTCATATTGTTCTTGTCAAAGTGACCCAGCATTGGAAGTCAAACCAAACTGAACGGAAACAGTCTTTTCTTCTTCTTCTTCTTATTTTGCTAACATTGTTGACATGCCATGTCTTTTGTTCAGTCCTAGTGCCAGCCTGATACAAAACGAACCACACACCCATGCTGAACAAACAAACAAAAAAAGGGGTGTGGTCTAAAAACAGCTATGCTCTTAAAAGGGTAACAAAAAACTGTTCAAACTTTAGCACTTCCTCTACTGCACCCATAGGCTCACGACTTCCTGAAACGAGAGTGTTTAAAAAAAAGTTTGTGGTTCATCTGTATGTACTTTAAAAATTTTTTTTTTTACTTCAGACCGGCAGTGAGCGAACCAGCTGTGTTCCTGCATGCGACTGCACTGACGGACCTTCATCTGATAAGGGTCTCTACAATCTCAAGAGGTTTTATTTGTGCACAACTCTGCAGTAAAGTTCATACGACAGTAAGTGAACTGCTGGCACAACGATGCTTCGTGTCTAAAATTTCAACTGTATTGTCACACTATAACCGTTCTCCCTTTTCATCACTTGATGTTCCTTCAGTCACTTGTCTGAGTTTGCCTGGAATGTGCTACTAGAGATAACGTAGGTTTAAATAGCCTTGTGAGTCATAATGCACTGTGCTGTTTAAAATGCTGCTTAGTTTGTCAGATTAGAAATAACCTAAAGGTTTTAAAATTGCACAATTTAATGCTTTAGCTTGCACTTTTGTGACATAACGACACTGTTTTCACAGTTTGAAATGTTACGTAAAGCTAAGTGTTCACAGCTGCCACAAAACAAATAGTTGAAGGACTTCTTTCTGGGTGTGTTCCTGCCTGTCTGTCTTTGGGCCACCCGGCACAAAGACAAGTCCAGTCAAATCCAAAGCACGGCAGTCTTCCTTCCTTCCTTCCTTCCTTTAGACATTTTTTTAAATTGCTCCTTGAATTAAACAGCTGGCACGCTTGCATGAGTGTTGATGGTTTGGCAGATGTAACAGTCGAGGAGGAGTGTTTAACAGAGCTCTTTGCATGTGGCAGGTATACAAATAAAAACTGATGCACCACAACTCCTCCTCCATGCCTGAACAGTCTGCATGCTCGGATGCAACAAGTGACACAACACCTGCAGGATATTTTAATACTAAAGCCGCCTGGGTTTAAAACGTGTCGGTGAAAATCAAAAACACAGGCCTGATAACAGAAGGCAGCAGCTAGATTTGAGAGATTTCACATATTTGGCAAATGTATTTAGAAAAGCAGCCAATTAATTTTGTTCCACATCCAATGTTGTCTTTAACCTAATAATTTTCAAAAGCACTGAAACGCAGACATGGACGGATCTGAATCCATTTTTCATCGTTAAGAAATTATTGACTTAATGTTGGTTGATAAAGTAAAGTCGAGGGACACAAAAGGTGAGACTCAAATATCTGGAAGTATAGAGCCAGTCGTGCACATAATGCACACACGCACAAGATGGTTGATCTAGAGAGAACACTGTAATTAAATTAATTGGAAGTACCTGGCGGTTTAGGGCGGTGGTGCAGTTGGTAGAGCTGTTGCCTCTCAGCGAGAAGGTCACCGGTTCAAATCCCTGCCAGGGGCCTTTCTAGGTGGAGTTTGCATGTTCTCTCCGTGCATGTGTGAGTTTTCTCCTGCTACTCCGGTTTCCTCCCACAGGCCAAAAACATGCATGTTAGACTGATCGGTAATGATAAATTGTCCCTAGGTGTGCATGAGAGAGTGAATGGTTGTTTGTGTCTATGTGTCCCTGTGATGGACTGGAGACCTGTGTCCCCCGCCTCTTGCACAGGGACTGCTGGATATGAACACCAGTGACCCCTGCAACCCGAAAAGAAACAAGTGGGTAAAGCTGATGGATGGAGTGAGTGAGTTAGTGAGTGAGTTAGCTAGCTAGTTAGTTAGTTAGCTAGCTAGCTAGCTTAAAGTCTACCAAGGGGACGGGATTAGCATTTGGATGCATCACTAATCAATTAGTCATTCTAAAAAGTAATCCCATCAGATGGGAAGATGCTCAAGGATTTCCACTCCTAAGTGTTTAAAGCAATACTTTTATTATCCTATAAACAGCTAAACTCTGAATTCACTGATGAGCTAAAGGCTAGTCTGAACACAGCTAATGCAAAAGTGGCATGCAGCAGTCCTAAAACGGCTTCAATGAAAGTAAAATAAAATTGTTTCATCCATAAATCTAACAGCGTTGGATCAGGTGGTTCCAACCATCAGAACCAAAGAGAGCAGAACTCGCTCCGCCTCTGGGTCTGATCGACCAGATTAATTCCTGAAAGCTCACCTCTGAACGGGACATGGACGCTTTACCTGCGATTTATGAACCGTTTTACGTTGTGTTCATTTACAACGTTGTCACGTTACAGTCTTGCAGTGTCAGAGACAGCAGTGTATGATTACAGCTAGCCCTTTACCGTTAGCTTCCGCTATTTTGTATCTGTTTAGCATAGCGAAGCTAATTCTTTAGTAAGCGAATTATCAGTTGGTGAAGTAAACCTTTTGGTTAGCTGTGCCCAACACTGAATTTTAGAAACGATTTTTGAGCCCCAAGTATAAAGTCGGGACTGAAATGAACACGTGACTTTAGATGTTCACAAAGTGAGGGGGAAGAATGGAGCACGTTTACACGTCATTTCTGCAACATCACTTTTATAGACCTTTTTCAAAACGACTGCAAATGAAACTGCACCTCCTCTACCCCCCATCCCCCCATTAATGATAACATACCATCATAAAGATGACCATAAATGCAATTCTCAGCACAAACATACAGCTCACGGTAGATGAATGCAGGCATTAACAAACAGGCATGTATAAACTTCTCTTGTCAGTTTATTAGCACAGTTCAAACTAGTCTGTATTTAAATTAAACGTTTTGGCGTCAGTAGAGACATTCCAGCCTGATCTCATAAGAGTCAGTGTTACTGCAAGTCAAGACGTTTCACGTTATAACCAAGTACATTTTGTAACTTCTCCTTTAACTCTGTATACGGTCTGTTCTTTTACTCTGAGCTTAACCATTTGTGTCATTTTGGACGTAAGGTATACAATGATGTGCAAAGAAATTTAGTTTAAGTAGAATTTGGACTAACGGCAGCCCAAACTTATGTGCGTCTGTTATTTTGTTTGTTTTTGTCCTGAACACCAGGGAGAGTATTTGAATCCTGTATTTGTTGCATTGCCTCTTAGGTCCAATGTTCCTTTAGTAAATGTTAGCTGTTCTTTAACACAATATGGAGAGTAAAGTGGCTTATAAACAAAACCAGAAGATACACATTAAATAACATTTTCCATCCATTACCTTTTACCCGCTTCTTCCTTTTCGGGTCACGGGGGTCACTGGTGCCCATATCCAGCAGTCACTGGGACACCCTGGACAGGTCTCCAGTCCATCGCAGGGCTAAATAACATTTTAAAGCTCTGAATTATACCTTGGTTATCAAGTTTCTCTGAATGAACCAAAGCCAATAGAGTAAAATGTGGGGACGTACTGAATATATGGAGACAATTGATTTTAAATTCAGTTTAGAAACATGTACTTTGCCGGAGTCTGCTGTAATTAATCTGTTTTCTTCCCCCAGGCCAATCAAAATGAGTAAAAGGATCAAGCCTTTTTTTAAGCAGCAGTCCACGCCATGCTTTGGGAAGGGTGAGTCAAAACAAATGCACATTTTTACCCAGCACTTCTATCATAATGCAGGAAAAACTACAGATTTACCAAAACTTATTACACATCCAATGACTTAAATCAGTTCAAACAGTGGGACAAAAACATTTTTGTCCAATTCTGATTCATTTAAAAAAAAATTCTATTTAATATTTTCACAATTTAACAGGAGAAGTTTTGAGTCACAAGTCTTGAGTGCTGCTGCTTTGATCAAATTAATAAAACAAGATGCTTTGCTGTGCATCAGAAGCACAGGGGTGTCCTGGGTTGCTGCCAGGTGCAGCTGCACAAATGCTTTTATATAAATAGTAGTTTTTAAATGTAATTTTCTGTTTATATTCCAAAAAGTTATGCTGAAGGTCAGGAAAGTGCTTGGAAATGAAAACCAAGAAAACAATAGCTAAAACCTAAATTTCAATAAAAATTTGATTCAGTCGCACAAACTAACTGGTTAAGGTATTTTCATCCTTGATGTATTTTTTTTTAATCAAAGAATAATATCTAATACATGCAGTGTATTCATTTCCTCATGCTTTCAGTGACAAACAAACTAATGAAGAAGCTGGTTTGGATCTTCGAAATCTGAAAATACCTTTTTTAATTTAAGCCCAAAATGTTTAAGTAAACTGAGTCATTTATAAACTCAAACAAACTTTGGATTTAGTTGTGTGTATCGAAGACAAAGGAGTTATGAGTACTGCTGTTTCTTTTATTGCTCACAGAAGATGCTCTCTGTACATCTGTCTATGCCCTTACACAGTGATGTCATAAGAACTGGGTATACTTTGTCTCAATGTTTTAAACAAAGAATAAAACCCGACATGTCGCACTGCTCTGACATATTTACTTCATCCCAGAATGGGCCTGTGTGTCAGAAGTGGGTGGTTGAAATGGAAAAACAAAGTGCAGATGTGTTAAGGAGGCAGGCGTAAGAAATACACGTTATATAAACAGGACAAACAAAAGCAGGATGAACAAACTTAGCTACAAAAACTAGATAAAATGAAAACAGGACTAAATAAACTAGCATTCCTTGAACGAACGTATCTCCTGCTGCCTTAAATGGATAAACTTCAAACAAAATCACGTGATCGGTTAGAAGTTCACTCTCTTCACGGTTTCAGGTCCACTAATAATACTATTACTAATATCAGAATTTGTAAAGAAAACCTATTTTTAAGTTTAAATTATTTTTGCTGAATTTTTTTAATTAAATAAAAAAAAAAAAGTCTTACTTTTGGGTGAGGTTCAGTGGTTTCTCTGGGCTCAAACAGATATATTTTCTGTAACCGGAGCACATTATGATTATAGCATAATTCATCAGGAATTCTTAATTTTAAATTCTTAATAAGAAAAGAAAAGATTAAAAAAAAACTCCGTCTTGTCGAAGCTCCAAAATTCACGGTTGAAACCCGTGACTTCATGTAAAAATGTGCAGCAGGTGCTAAAGAATTTAAAATAAAAATAATAATAAAAAAAGAAAATTCCATCTCCATTATGTGTCATGTCCAATCTTATTTTGAAAAACCGCGATGGAGCGAGTCCGCGATAAACAAACCACGAAGTAGCGAGGGACTACTGTGTGTGTGTGTATATATATTTGTATACGATTGAAAACGGAAGCATAAATATGAAAATATGTCATATTTGCATGTAATGAAACTATGATCTTTTCTAAATGGTAATATTACCAGGTATTTACTTGTCCATAAGACAACTTCCTTCTGTCACAGTTGCCCCAGATGGCAGACAGCCTCTCATATGTTACCATTCAGGTTTGACTGCCAGCTTGGATTAGAGGCCCTGTTGCTATGATGCTCTTCATATCCTAAAATAGAGACAGAAAGGGACATTTAAGACAGCAGCAGCCAGCAGGTGCATTATAGATGCAGCCAGAGGACCATGTAAACAGCAGAGCAAAGCTGAACAGAGGCAGTCACAGCCAGCAGCCCGAAGAGCAGCATCACAGACATGTAGACAAACATCAGTCTTGAAGACACTCCTAAAAAAAAAAAAAACAGTTCTGCTTGAATAAAACTGTGATACTGAAGATGAGCGTTTAGCATCCCAAGCAGTCAAAGTGAGATTTGTGCAAGCTGAAACACTTTGAATCAACAGGAGAATATCGAGAGCCTAACATGGCTCAAATCACAGCAGAAGGTAAGAAAGTGTGGCGTCTATGGATTATAAACATGAAATGTGATTATAGTTTTATGGAGGTGATTTTATTAGATGCTGGCTGGAGGACAACAGAAATAAGATGAGATGGAAAGTTAATTTCCTGAGTAATAATTATTTTTAAAACCTTAATAATACTCATTATAAAGGCCGGTCAAAATAAATTTAATAAAGCAATAAAATCTACACAATTGTTTTTCTCATAATGATGGTTGGTGTCTTCAAAGGAAAAACAGCAAACAAAGTTTGTGAACGGCCGCCAACTACCATGTGTGCTTGTTAACTTACGGAAAGAGCCAAAAAGAATGAAACTTGATCAACACTGGTGACGTCCACGTAAGAGCTGTTTTTGAGAAGTCGGACAAATTATAAGTTTATGATTTCAACCTAACTTACCGTTCTAGCAGAAGTTTCGCAAAAGGTTCATGTTTGAATGAAAAGCCCCGTCTTTATGACGCTCCTCCTCTTTATTTGATCCCAGATGTCGTTGACAGTCGTCTTACTTGCTTCTCTTTTCTTTCAAACTTAGCAGCAGATTCATTCCTATATTTCCACCCAAATGTCTCCTTGCCTTTTTGCTAGTCTGATTTCATCATGTTTGTTTACCGGAGACTACGTAGAGCCTAATGTAGGTCAGTCATGTGACTTGAGCTTTCACTTGGCTGTAAGCACATTCAGCCAAGTATTTTGTTTACACTGAGTGTATACCCACAACTGAGAACTGCACCTGGAAAACTACTGGAGCAAACTTTTTTGAGGCTACAGTAGTCTCTCGATACTTTGGGGCTCGACTTTCGTGAACTCACTCTTTTGCGGGTTTTTAACGTAAGATTGTACACATTGTAAGTTGTACACATTGTAAGTTGTACACATTGTAAGTTGTACACATTGTTTCCCGGTGGCCTAGCTGCTCAGTGATTGTCGAGGACTGGCTCAGTAACCATAGCATCAGTCTGTCTGCTCTCTTTCACCATGCTCTTTTAGAGCATTTAGAGAGTTTAGAACATTGCAAGAGTGTGGGAAGGGTTTATAAACCCTTAAAATATTTATAAATACTAAAATAAAACGCCCCTACATTGCTGATTTTCACCTATCGCGGTGGTCTGGAACATAACCCCTGCGATAAGTAAGGGACTACTGTACACCATTTGATGTAGTTCAGAACAACCTATCAATTCATACTTATGAGTAATTAATACGCTGGAACATAAAAATGGTGCACACTAAACAAAAACCCAACTGTTAGCTGATACGAGATAAAAAGGTCATCCACAAAGCTGCTCAGCTGTTCCTGTTCAGGGACAATGTACACGTGTTCAAAGGCTAAGCCTAAATGACGCCTTCCAAAAAGTACCTTTGGTGTCAGTGTGAGGGCAAATGGCACTGGTGTCATTGCTGGAGGTGCCAAGATTATTGAAGGTTTTGGTCGGACAGAGTTGCACGTGGTTTGCAGGCAGCAGTCAATAAGTTAGTTATTTGATACACACACACATGCGCGCCTTGTTTTATGCTTGTTGACACAAATATCTCCAGATAGATTAACACTAGACCTGTCCAAGTGACCCACATTCTAACCGTGACGATATCAGCAGCAGTGATGACTCGATGATCAGACTAATCAAGCATCTCTACCACAAACAGGAAGCTGGACAGTTTCCCAGTTTTTAGATGAGGGGGTGTTGAGGCTTCAGGCCAAGTTATTAAATAACAAAAAGACTGCTGCTGTTCAACTGCTAATACATATTCACAGAGTCTGAGATAAAAATAGCACCAGGCCTCATGTTGTGAGGCCAAATAAACAAGACTGTTTCATTAAGTCCTGGGAACCACTGCAGTCTTAACAACCGGGTCGGGCTTTCTTTCCATGATACAGCCAAAAATAGTTTTATTAAGTCCTGGGAAGTGAATTCTTCTTATGCTGTGGTTTTAAATACTGGGTCAGACTTTTATTACATTCATTTTTTTAAGTAAACTTTGGTTTTTATGTTCATTTAAGGAACTTACTAGAAAACATGAGGCACAAATAACCACAAAAATGACGTTTAAAAAAAACAAGTAATTTTAAAATCAAACAGAGAATCTGTGTTCAATTCAGTTCAGTTTATTTATATAGCACCAAATCACAAGAAAGTTGTATCAGGGCATTTTACAGAAACATTCACATACATAAAAGCCAATTAGTAAAGTTTATCTAAGTTCTCAACATAATATCTTGCTGTTTGGGTAAAGCAGCCAGACTGATGTGACAATGAATCAACATCAAACAGGAAAACATACATAGATAGGCGAGGAATCGAGACCTATTTTCAGAGCTCGTGAAGGGTGAATTACTCTGTACTGAGCCAACAGGTCAATACCAACCTGGCGCACGAAGGATGGGGATTAAATGTGCTGACTGTAACTTGCATGGCACTTTGGCAGATTCAGTATCCAGTATAAAAATACAAGTCAGCCGTTCAGGACATGTTTACACATGAGGATGAGCAGAACACAACAACCTTCAAACTCATTCAGATTAAATTGTTTCAGTTCAACTTAGTGATTCTTGTATTTCTAAGTTTATGTTTAGGTCATGTCATATTTTTTACATTAAACTAATAAAGCATCATGTCACTTTAACTTTGGGGACCGAGATGGTGTAGGGGTAGGGCAGCCGACTCGGGACCCGAAGGTCCAGGGTTCGATCCCTGGTCATTGAACATCTCATGGTGTCTCTGAGCAGGACACCCTATCCCCAGTTGCTCCCTGGGCGCCTCCAAAGTTCACCCACCTCTCCGCCTGGTGGTGGATGGGTTAAATGCATAGAGCCAATTTCACCATTGTATGGGAACATACAATGATGACAACACATACACATTATTATTAATATTAAAATAAAAAATGAATGGGATTTATAAAAACTGCCTACTGTCAACCTCTCTTGCTGCAATTTCGAATGCCAGTTATAGAATTATAACTGCCATTATATTGTAAATAAGTGCTATGTGTTGTCATCATTGTATGTTCCCATACAACGGCGAAACTGGTTCTCTGCATTTAACCTGTCGCACCTGGGATACGCCAGGTGGAGCAGTGGGCAGCTGTGTAAGCGCCCGGGGAGCAATTGGGGATTAAGTGTCTTGCTCAGAGACGCCACGACATGTGGCTGGGGATTGAACCTGGGACTTTCGGGTCCCAAGTCGACTGCCCTACCTCTACTCCATCTCGGCCCCAAATAAAATGCTTTTAATGATAAAAATCCTAATATTTTGCAGAATAAAATGCATCTAATTTGAATAAAACCTTATTTGATCCAGCAATAATAAGTTATTATTGAATATTTCCATGCTAATTATGACATATGGCATGTACCCATCATTACTTTTTTAAACAAAAGATTTTCTTTCCAAAAAAATAAAAGGGACTCACTGAGACTCGAACCTTTTTCCAGAGGCCACACAGCTTTTCCCCAAGATGTTGATGAGCGAGACTGATGAGAAGATACGCCTGATGGCAGAGAAGGTTTACGCCTCTGCCCTGAAACAGGAAACCATGAAGGATGCTCTGGCGTTGTTCACTGTCCCAGAGGACTGTCCGATCGGCCTGCACGAGGACAGGGAGAGGGAGCTGCAGAAGGAGCTGGCTGAGCAGCTGTCTCAGGAGTCTGTTCAGAGGTGGGAAGTTGAAAGATGTTTAAACAACCTCCACATCAGAAAACCTTACTTTTCTAAATAGCTCAACATCAGCAGAGATTTCTAGTTTTAGGAACATAAACAGGCGGTCTTAATTCACCAGTAGAATAATCATTGTGATTGTATTATCAGGAAGAAGAACTTCTTGTTGAAGCGCTCGCAGACGGTATGTTTACAGCTACCTGATGACTGGAATCGGTCCGCTTCATCTCCTCTGCCCACCGCAGGCGTGGCTGAACCTTTTCCACTAGAGAACTTCCCAGACTTCCAGAGAGTAACCATCAGCGGGGATTACTGTGCAGGGGTATGCAACTACTGCACGCATTACGAACAATGGCACCCTTTGTGCATCTGCCTTTAATAAAACAATGCTACCAAGAAACAGGTGCTCGATTAAAAAAACTGGAGATAAAAAGACTTGAAACTTTACTTGCTGAGGAGAGAAGTGAAACAGCAACTTTAATTTAAAATCCAGGAAAATAAAAGACATCTTAATGACCCCAAACAACTGTAAAAAGAAATACTGAAATTCTGGATTTATGTAGTGTATTCTATTTCTTCTTTCAGCTTTTTCCTCTTTAGGGGTTGTCACATTGAGTCATCTTCTTCTGTCGTCACTCTGTCCTCACTCCAGCTACCTCCATGTCCTCTCTCTAACTGCATCCAAATATCTCCTCTTTGTCTTTTTCCTGACAGCTGCATTTCTAACATCCTTCTACCAATTTACCCACTGTCCCCCCTCTGGACATGTCCAAACCATCTCAGTCTGACCTCTCTAACTTTATCTCCCAGTTGTTCAACCCGTGCTGTACCTCTGATGATCTCATTCCTAGTGCTGTGTTCAAGACTACCTAACCCGAGACCAAGACCAGAGAGTACCGAGACAAGACCAAGAATTTTAGGGTGCAAGACCAAGTCGAGACCAAGACCTCAAATAAAATAAATAAAATATTTTTATTATAATTTAAAAAAAAAAATTAAAGTTATATACTGCAACTTTAAGCTTGCTTTTGAATGAATATATCGGCTTTTATAAATTTTCAAAGCTACATAAAGAAATCAGACATTCAGTGGCCTAACTACATGTGATTCAACAATAAAATTACACAACTGTTCAATTGGAAGCAGTTTCATCACGTCAAGCCTTAAAAAACTGCAGTGGCAAAACACTCTTCAGAAGTCCGAACTCAAGACCAAGGATAGTTGCACAGTGGTTTCAATAAAGTAGTAGATGTACACCTAAAAAGTTACATAAATGAATATTCGTTACAAGTATATTCTGTCTGATTTAAATAGCTGAATTTTATAACTGATGATTTGGCAGACATCTTCTCCCGCGCCCAGACAATCGCTTCTCATTTTTTTGGAGTGACCAGTGTTGCCAGATAGAGTCGAGGTTTTCCAGCCCAAAAATCTGTTAAAAACTGCCACGTCACACAAAAGTCCACCCAATCGATATATTGTTAAAGTATATTTACTGTTTGAACATGAACACACATCAGTACAAACCAAGGTCATTTAACAATATGTGGCAAAATGCAACAATCCAACAAAAATCTTCCCAGAGTTCCCAGCAAAATCAGATTGAAAACCGCCCCATTATAAACCACCCAATCTGGCAACACTGGGAGTGATGCGTGCAAGTGAAAGAGGTTGGGCTTGACAGCGGTAACAAAAAACGTATTTAGCAATGAGTCACGTTATCGATTAGATTTGAATCAGTACGTTTTGCAGCCAATAAAAGCAAAGATGTTGACAAATAAACTGGATAGTATTCTGGTCATTTAGTGATATTTCCACCGTTGTGGTCTTGAATTAAAGTCCCGAGTCCTCAATGTTCGAAACCAAGACAAGACTGAGACCAAATGCAATTGAGTCCGAGACGAGACCAAGACCATCAAAAAGTGGTCTTGAGACCGGTCTCAAGACCAAGACTGGTCTTGAGTGCTACAACACTACTCATTCCTAATCTTATCCATCCTTGTCACCCCTAAGGAGAATCTCAACATCTTCATTTCTGCCACTTCCTGTTCTGTCTCCTGTCTTTTTGTCCATGTCTCTGTCTCCAGACCATACTACATAACTGGTCTCACCACTGTCCTGTAAACTTTTCCTTTGACCTTTGCTGACTCACTTGTTACAAGAAGGAATGTGTATTCCAAAGTTTAAAAAAAGGTCTTGCACAATCTAAGAGTGCTTGAAATGTGTTTTTGGAATGACTTTCAATATCTGTAAAATTACAGAGTGACGGTTGTTTTTGTGTTTGCTATGATTGATTAGCTGTGGCAGCCATTTTGAACTGGGTAGACTTCAAGATCAATTGTACATCCAATTATTTTTTTAGGAGTCTCATTAAAATACAATGCTTCATGAGATGTTTTGCTTACAGATAAATTAACATGCGTAAATACACATCCACACAAGTTTGTACTTCTACCCATATTGTACTGACTTCCATTCATTCTTGTAGCCTGAGCTTGGTCCTAATCCAACCTACCATCGCCACTACCTGCCTAAACCTAACCCCTAACTCTAAAATAAACTCAGTTTACACTTCAGCCTTAATCCCAATCCCTATATGGTTTAGTGGTCCTGAGAAGGTAGGTGAAAATACCTGAAAAGGTTCTTAGAAGGTAACACAAACCAAGAATGCACACACACAAAATTACAATATTGCCCACACTTCACAGCAGCAAGGAATAATGAATCGTTTAACTTATTAACTAAATTTTCAGCTCTTTAACACGTGAAAATCTCTGATTTTAGATCACTGTTGAGGATTATGAACAAGCATCTGAGAGTCTCTTTAAAGCACTTTTTATCCGAGAGAAGTACTCCAGGCTGGCATTCCACCGCTTCCCAAGAACCACTACCCGATTCCTTTGGGATGCCCAAAATGTGAAGTGGAGCGAGGAGGATGAGGTTTTACCCGGTACGAACATTTCCATGCTCATTTTAAAATGAATTTATTCAACTATAGAAATGTGCCAGCCAATATTGTATCCAATCATATTGATGTAAATTATTCACTACAGTTTTAGTTTTGTATTTTTTGGTGCAGAACTGTGTTTGAACTCTTTAAAGCTATTTTAAGCTCTCTTTGCATTTGTATCAGAGTAAGAGTGATGTGTGTTAGGCCGTTAGTTAGACCATTCCAGACTCCAGATACACATCACACATCCCAAAACTTGTCAAATATACTCCTCTAAACAGCTCAATGTATACATTTTATTAAAAGATGGATGGATGGATTTTGCAAGGCCACATTATCTCCAAGCTTTACTAATTACAGAGTTTAAATGTATTTTTGCAATCATCAACTTGTTTTGCAGTTATCACTATTAGCATTTTTAGTCTGAGTGTGTGAGCAATAGAGCTTTTTCAGTGTAAGTTAACTTGATGAAGTATGGTGCAAGCAAACCACAAGGATCTTACGTTGGAGACAAAAAAGGAAAACTAGGATCTTAGATATTTTGCTGATTAGGAGCTCAGACAGGAACAGCAGCGCACTGTTACACCATACTGTGGGTGCAACATGTTGCATGTTTGAATTGTGTCAGCGTATTGATAAACGGATGGTTGTGTTCTTTTTTCTGTGTTGTATCGTGACAACAAAGAAGCACACTCACATTCCTGTACGATGAACTTGTTTATTTATTAAGAACACTAACTTACAGACAAGGCCCAAACATCAGCCGTCTTACAACCGTCATGAGCTTTGACTCAGTCACTTCACAAGTTACTGACCAGGAGAAACATTTACAATAAAACAATATTGCCACCCAGTGGTGTAATTATCAGCAGACATATCATGTATCCCAGGTTATCATTAACACATTTTAACAACATTATGCCAAGATACATCACAGTGAATGGCCTCGCACAAAAGATTTGACAGTTGTTTGTGTGCCGGATCCTATTCCTGATACAATCTGGCTCAAACCTGCAGCCTGAAGATTACAAGACCATGGCACTGACCACCATCCTTCCACAGCCCCTTATAACTGGATGGTATATTTTCTCTATAATATCCATCCATCCATTTTTTTTACCCACTTCTTCCTTTTCGGGTCACAGGGGTCACTGGTGCCCATGTCCAACCATTACTGTGCAAAAGGTGGGGTACACCCTAGACTGATCGCAATTCCATCACAGGGTCACATGGAGACAAATGAGACAAACAACCATTCACTCTATCAATCACAACTAGGGACAATTTAGAATCTGCCTAACATGCATGTTTTTTGGTCTGTGGGAGAAAACCGGAGTACCTGGAGAAAACCCACGCATGTACGAAGAGAGCATACAAACTCCACTCAGAATGCCCCCCCCCCCCCCCGGCTGGGATTTGAACTAGCGACCTTCTTGCTGAGAGGCGGCAGCTCTACCAACTGCCCCACTGTGCCGCCCCTAAAGTATAATAAATGAATAAACACACAAACAAATAAATCTGTAGCAAATGTTGCATTGTTGAGTCTACCTAATTTAATACATACATTTTCTGGTTATCATCCAGAATTGGTAGTTTCAAAACAAGGTTCTTTGTCATATGCATCACATGTGGTACATGAGGTGGAATGAAGTTGTGTACCCAAGGTCCCAGTTGTAGTTGAAACAAATATTCAACAAGGCATTTATCCAGTGGCGTTATGCCTGGAAGTCTGGAAGTGGCAGTTTATCTCTCACTGTTAAACCAAAGTCGGTCGTGATCTTTTGCCAGTGCAAGTTGGACTCCGCCAAGGCTGCCCCTTGTTTACAGTCCTGCTTGTGTTGTTCATGGAATTGATCTCAAGGCTTAGTCATGGAGAAGAGGGGGTCAAATTTGGAGACCTAGGGGTCTCATTTATGCTTTTGACATGGTTCTGTTGGTGACTTCAAGCCAATACCCTCAGTGTACACTCTGTTTGCAGCTATGATGAGTCCGCTTCTCCAAGTCTGAGGCCATGGTTCTCAACAAGCACAAGATAGAATGATGAGTCTTTGCCTCAAGCAAAGGGGTTCAACTTCAAGTATCTAGCTGTCTTAGTGGCAGAATGATGCAGGAGATGGATGTACAGATCAAGGCCTTGTCCACAGGGATGAAGAGTTGCTCTGGTCTGAGTTGAAAGACAAATGTCTTGAGGTTCAGGCATCTGATTTGTTTGATTCCTGGTCACCTGCCTCTGGAGATTTCCTGGGCACATCACACTGTAAGGAAACCTTGACACAGATACAAAACTTGCTGGAGGGATTTTAAATCCTCTCTGGCCTTGGAACATCTTCAAATCCCCAGAACAAAGCTGGAAAGTGTCACTGGGGAAAGGGATGTTTGGGTTTTTCTCTTGGATTTGTTGCCTGCACAATCTGACCACAGATAAGCAAAATAAAATTAATGGATGGATGTCAAAGCCAATTATATTGATTTTGTACTCTACCTTACTCATTTGAACTCTTGATCATTCTCATAGTTTATTTATCTCCTCCAATCATTTGCAGTCATCTGGCCTTTCCCTCCTGAAGGAGAGGATCCATATTCCATGGAAGGTATTCCTGAGAACCTGAAGTATGAGCTAAAGATGAAAGATGGAATATTTCATGTGTATGCTGATGCAGAAGCCCTAAAACAAGAACAACCTCTCAGCCTCCCCTATCCTGATCTTGAGACATTTGCTATAGATCTGAGCCATGTACTTGCGATGATAGCTGATGGCCCTACGTAAGTACACAAACACAAACACAAACATTTTCTTTGAGTGATTGACATATTGCTGCAATATCTCAGTACATAGGGTTAATAATGTCAAAACATGAACTATTCACTTTATTTATATAGTGCCAAGTCACAACAGAGGTTGTCTCAGGGCACTGTACAAAAACACTGACGTACAGTAAAACACCAATTAGTAAAAGTTATCTATCTACAGAAGATTGTGTTGAATTTTCACTTTATAACAGTCTCCCATCCTGAGCAAGTACAAAGGAGACCGTGGAAAGGAAAAACTCCCTTTTTAAAAGGAAGAAACCTCCAGCAGAACCAGGCTCAGGACGAGTGGCCATCTGCTTGGACTGGCTGGCGTTTGAGAGAACACGAAGTAGAAACAGACAAACGCAGAATGGCAGATCCAGGTGTATTTTCTATTGGAAGAAAGACAAAACAAAAAAAGTTAAGATAGAAATAATTACAAATACAAGCAGGTATCGTAGAAGAAGTAAAGGCAGCAGCAAAGTGAGGAAATGTGGTCAGTTTGTCCTCCAGCAGTCTAAGCCTATAGCAGCATAACTAAGGGACAGCTCAAGAAACCCAAGCTGACCCTAATTATAGGATTGATCAATAAGCTTAGTCTTAAAACTGGACAATGTGTCAGCCTCACTGACAGAAACTGGAAGTTGGTTCCACAAGAGAGGAGCCTGATAACCAAAAGCTCTCTTTCCCATTCTACTTTTGGAAACTCTAGGATCTACAAGTAAACCTGCAGCTGAGTGTGAAGTGCTCCGTTAGGAAAGTATGGAACAATAAGATCTGTAATATAAGATGGAGCTAGGTTGTTGAGAGCTTTGTAGGTTAGAAGTAAGATTTTGAATTAAATTCTGAATTTGACAGGGAGCCAATGGAGAGAAGCTAAAACTGGAGAGATATGATCTCTCTTACCAACTCTCATTAAAACTCTGGCAACAGCATTTTGGATTAACTGAGACACCCAGATAATAAGCAGTTGCAATAGTTCAGCCTATAAGTGTTAAATGCATGGACTACCATAGTTTTTCTGCATCGTTTTTGGACAAGACGTTTCTAATCTTAATGATATTACGGAGGCGGAGGAAAGCAGTCCTGGTAACATTTTTAATGTGGGGGTTAAAAGACATATCCTGATCAAAAATTACACCAAGGTTTTAAACATTAGAACTGGAGGCCATATTAATGCCATTGAGAGGAAGTGAAAGGCTGCAACGTTTATTCCCAAGATGCTCAGGTCTAAAAACCACAACCACTGAATTTAAAAGCAGAAAATTAAGGGTCATCCAGGTTTTATATCTTTAAGACATGCTTGTAATTTAAGTAACTGATTGGATTCTCTGGGTTTTATAAATAAATGTAACTGTGTATCATCAGCATAACAATAAAAATTTATCCCATGCTGTTTAATAACTTTACCTAGTGGAAGCATATACAAGGTAAAGAGTATTGGTCCAAGCACTAAACCCTGAGGAACTCCATGACAAACTTTGGTGTCTGAAGAAATTCATTATTTACATTTACAAACAAATCTGTCAGATAGATATGATTTAAACAACTTTAGAGCCGTTCCTTTAATCACAATATCATATTCAAGTCTCTGTAGTAGAATATTGTGACCAGCTGTATCAAATGCAGCACTGAGGTCTAACAGGACGACACCTGTCCATTGTCAGAGGCCATGAGAATATCATTAGTGACATTCACCAGTGCAGTTTCAGTGCTGTGGTGATCTCTAAACCCTGACTGAAACTCTTCAGATTATATCTGTTCAAATGTTCACACAACTGATTTTTATCTATTTTCCTCAAGAATATTTGAGACAAATGTTAGATTATATATAGGTCTATCATTGGCTAGGATTTCTGAATCAAGATAAAGTTTTTTAAGTAAAGGTTTAATTATAGTAACCTTAAAAGTGCTGTGGTACATACCTTAACCATTCATTAGAGACAAATTAAGCAAATCTAAAAGGTGGATATTAATTAGAGGAAATATGTCTTTTAAAATTCTGTTGGGATGGGATCTAGCAGACATGTGGATGGTTTGGATGAAGCGATTTCTTTTGACAATTCAGAGCTCAACAGGACGAAAACAGTCCAAACATAAATCAGGTTCTGGTGACATTTCTAAAGCTGCAGAGAGGTACAGAGAGAAAATTCAACAGGGCAGGACTGAGAAGCCTTTCTCAGTATATTTTACAGGATAATAAATCTTGTGCTGCCTTGCAGGAAAACCTACTGCCACAGACGACTTAATTTCTTGTCTTCTAAATTCTACATCCATGAAATGCTGAATGAAATGGCGGAGCTGAGAGAGCTGAAAAGCGTTCCACACAGAGACTTCTACAATGTTAGAAAGGTTAGTTGATGTTTTTTTCAGTTAGTCCTTCAGTATGTGAACTTAGGTTTTAGTGACATTCCGCCTAAAATAACAACAGATCATGGATGTAGTATATTTGCCCAATAACATCATTTTCTTTGTGTCAAATGCAGGTAGACACACACATACATGCTGCAGCTTGCATGAACCAGAAGCATCTGCTGAAATTTATCCAAACAACATACCATACAGAGGCAGATCGAGTGGTTTTGGAGAAAGGAGGCCAGAAGATCACACTCAAAGAAGTCTTCAACAACCTCAAAATGGACCCATATGACCTGACTGTAGATTCACTGGATGTGCACGCTGTAAGAGAACATTTACAGTTCAAACTATAGCATCGTCACCAAAGCGTTGGGGAATACATTCACCTAGTATAATCTAACACAAACTGCTTTTAATGCAAAATGACAACGACAAAATGAACGTTATGTTAACTTTTTTTATGATTTGAAAATATTTTTATCCAGTTTTTGTTTGTTACAAATGTATGTACCGTATATGGTATTTTTGCTGTTAATCCTGCAACCTTACAGTTTTTTATAGAAAAAGAACCGATGCAGTCATTATCAGTATGTTAAATTGACCCTCTCCCTCTCCCGTCACTCACAGGGAAGACAGACCTTTCACAGGTTTGACAAGTTCAACTCCAAGTATAATCCTGTGGGAGCCAGTGAACTACGAGAGATTTATTTGAAAACGGACAACTATATTAACGGAGAGTACTTTGCACGTCTCATCAAGGTGAAGTACAAATGAAAAACAGTTTAAATATTTGCATAAAAGGTTAAACAGCTGTGTGATGAATTAATATATTGTGGTCTTATTAGAGTTCCTAACGATTGCAATTTTACAAACCTACCCTGGTTTCAATAAAGATACAGTAGTCTCTCGTTTATTGCCAGGGATCCGTACCCTGAAGACCCGCGATAAGTGAAAAAACGCAAAGTAGGAATAGTAGTACAAGTAGTAGTTTATTTTAGTATATATATATATATATATATATATATATATATATATATATATACACACACACACGTTAAGATGTTTTAAACCCTTCCTACACTCTTGCAATATTCTAAATAATGTTTCTAAACGCTCTAAAAGAGCACAGCATTTCATGGTTTCAGCTTCCTGCTTCCTCTGCTTTGCCACCTGCAAGTGCTCTTGGCCACGCCCACTTCTCTGCTCTGCACGCAGAACAGCTGATCAGCTGCAGCAGGAAGTTTATCCTGCAGCATGGGCTGCTCAAAGGTGCAGCAGGTGCCAAATATTTTAAAATAATTTATTTTAAATAAAAATTCCATGCCAATCATGGAGCTCATCCATCAGTCAGCCAGTTGTGTGTCATGTCTAATCGTATTTTGAAAAACCGCGATAAACGAACCGCGAAGTAGCGAGGGACTGCTGTATTTTAATTTTAGAGGTGTAAACTACAACAAGGGTTCAACTCTGCGTGTCACATCGAAAACAAAAGACCCGACATCCGTCTCATTAAAGGTTATTAAGGGACGCAAGCACAGGTCTTGAACAATACAGATTAAATTTGTGTTTTTGTGAGGAACAAAATCTTTGATGGGATATAGAAATGGCATTTTTTGTCCACTGCATTACCAGCTCACTTGTTTTCTCAAGAAAAGTCAAGAACTTTGTGTCGTTGCACATTTCAGGAAGTTGCTGCGGAGCTGGAGGAAAGCGTGTATCAGCACGCTGAGCCACGTTTGTCTATTTACGGCAGATCTGCCAGCGAGTGGGAGAGCCTGGCAACATGGTTCATCCAGCACAAAGTCCACTCACCCAACATGAGATGGATGATCCAAGTTCCGAGGATCTAGTAAGCTTTCAGTACAAGGAAATGGCCGTTAACAAGACAAATTAGGGCCTGTTCACACAGGAACACTGCTATACGACAACGGGGGAGTCACTAGCTTATTTACACGTACCACAATTACCTAAAACTACAGGGTTTGATGAATATTGGAGCTCTATTTTGAGAACAAAATGCTTTACGCAATATGGCTAAAAACTAATTGTGTGTATTGTGTAAGGGTTCACTTAATTTATTTGTCTTGCAGTGACATCTTCAGGTCAAAGAAACTGGTTCCAAACTTCGCTAAGATGCTGGAGAACATTTTCCTCCCACTTTTTGAAGCTACAGTCAACCCTCAAAAGCACAAAAAAATCCACGTTTTTCTAAAATATGTACGTATATTTATGAACATGTTTTTATCTAAAACTTTCTGTACTGCTGAGCTGAGGAGACGAACTGTAAAGAGCGTTATGTCGAACCGATACGAGCTGTGTACTAAACGGTACGTGGTATTGTCTGTGGCCCTGCAGGTGACGGGATTCGACAGTGTGGATGATGAGTCTAAACACAGCGACCACATGTTCTCTTACAAAAGCCCGAAACCCGAGGAATGGACCACAAACGAAAATCCTCCCTACACCTATTACCTCTTCTACATGTATGCCAACATCATGGTGCTGAACAATCTGCGCAAGTAAGTTCTTGAAGGTCGTTCAACAAAACGTCTGTTAAACTCAAGAATGCTGAACGTCGTCTTAAGATGAACGGCGTCGTATGATTAACACGTTTAATAAATATGCACAAACCGTTAATAGCTCACGATTTCCGAGAAATGCCAAGAGATAAAACTTTAGTCAACCGAGGCACAAAAACAACTTTTGCTAACCGTATGAAAATGACAAAAACAAAACGATAATAATTCAACTGTCTTTCACCAGTGAGATGCTAAAGCACTGAAACTAAACTTTTCTTCCTGCAGGGACCGAGGACTGAACACCTTCCAGTTCCGTCCCCACTGCGGTGAGGCGGGCTCCATCACCCACCTGGTCTCTGCCTTCCTGATAGCTGACAATATCTCCCACGGACTCAACCTGAAGAAGGTGCGGCCCTAAAGTCACACTAAAGTTTGATCAAGGTCTTTAATGAGATAAAAGTCAAACTATCGCATCCATCGTCTCAACGTCTTGACCACCGTCAGACAATAAACTGAGAGGTTTTTTTTTTCTTACAATCTAATGACCACGCTGCTTTTGACATTACACAGATCTTCTTTAATGTCTGTTGCCAGCATCACATAATCCAAGAATGTGCAGACAGTTAAATCATGCACGTTGTAGCACCACAGATGGTACGATACAAACTCTTTTTGCAAATATATGTGCAGCTGTGGCTCAAAATAAAGTGTTTCTTCACCTGTAAAGGGTTGCTGGTTCAATCCCTGCCTTTACTAAGTATACCTTGGAAGCTGCTTTCCATCCTCCAGTAAGATGCTCGGATCATTTTGTTTTAAACTAATTGTGAATTTTCATCGATAATCCCTCAAAACAAAACATTAAAAGTGATGTTACTGTGGTGTGTCTGCGTTACGTCCCCCTGTCCAGAGTCCAGTGCTGCAGTACCTGTTCTACCTGGCCCAGATCCCGATCGCCATGTCCCCACTGAGCAACAACAGCCTGTTCCTGCAGTACTCAAAGAACCCAATGCAAGAGTTTCTTCACAAAGGCCTGTGTGTGTCATTGTCCACTGATGACCCCATGCAGTTCCACTACACGAAGGTCAGGACACTAAAAGAAAATAGCTCAATTAAAGCACATGTTAGAAATAGTTTTTGTGGTTCTAGTCTGGAAACATCCGGGTACTTTTTAAAGTAATAATTTCTCTTCATGCTATTGAAAAATCTTTAGGAAGCTTTAATGGAGGAGTACGCCATCGCAGCTCAGCTGTGGAAGCTGAGCACGTGTGATTTGTGTGAGATTGCCAGGAACAGCGTTCTGCAGAGCGGTCTCTCCCATGAGGTAAACCTAAACAGAACTTTGCTTAAGAAACGGTCACACAGTGAAGTAAAGTGGTGCATCGCATTGGTTTTACATTAACTCATAATATAATACTGCACCATACTTTTAAGAATGTTGTCGAGGTTTATTCAAATCACAACACCAAAATAAATGAAGATGTTCACATTCCATTTCTAGAAACATTTACAGTAGTCCCTGGATTATCACGGGGTTTACGTTCCACACATCCCCGCAACAAGTGAAAAACTGCAAAGTAGGAACGCTGTATATATTTTAGTATTTAAATATATTTTAAGGCTTTATAAACCCTTCCCACACACTTGCAATGTTCTAAACTCTTAAACCTGCTTAATTTTAACAACCTACAGTACAGCAAATTTTTATATGGGTACTCACCAGCTCTGCAGACCTACCCTGCAGCACCGCCCTGTGCAGGTTGATGTGCACGTGGATGTGCACGTGGATTATTGAGCTTCAGGATTATTTACGGCTTTCCTGCCAGTTCTGTGAGCTTCATAGATAGATCGTTACTTCTGACTGCGTTGCTAAACTTTCCCTCTATTTCGACAGAAAGCAGCAGCTGGAAGCACTGTTGGCTTCTGGGTAGTGTAGTTCTTTTGACCTGTGTTACAGTATAGGCTTATTGAAAGAAAACTACAAAATGGTGGCGCCTAGCCAAAGTATTTTTTTGGTAACTTTTTGTCCCGTACCGTCCCAATCACGTGAGTAATATTAAAGTTGACAATCGTGTACAATCTTGCGTTGGAAAAACCGCAAAAGAGCGTGTTCATTACATGGAACTCCATTAATAGACATTGCCATCTAGTGTCAAAAATCAGAACTGCACTGAAGACCGCTGTAAGTAATAACATTTTAAAAATAAATGCAGTCGCTGTTAGTATCTTTGTACTGTTTGTCTGAAACTATTAAGGTTATTAAACTTGTCACTGGGAAATAAATATTTAGAAACCTGCTGCATGCAGTGTAAAATATTCTGGCTACATCATTGTTAAACCTTAATCTCCGCAGGAAAAGAAACGCTTCATTGGTTCCAACTACCTACAGGATGGACCGCAGGGCAATGACATCCGTAAGACAAACGTGGCTCAGATCCGCATGGCCTTCCGCCACGAGACTCTGTGCAACGAGCTCAGTTTTCTGGTGGATGCGGTGAAAACGGAGGATGCTCCACCTCCAGCCGAGTGATTAACTTCACAGTCACACATCTGGATACGTCTTCAGAGGTTAGAGGGCAAAGACTAGACGGCGTATGTGTTTTTATAACGGCTTTGGAAATGTTCTCCCCCGAGACTTTTAGGGAGGAAAATTGAAGCATCAGTTGTGCTGATGGATAATGATGCTAATATTTTGGGCCGACCTAATGTAGTGTAATATGGATCGACTTGTTTGGGTTTGGATACTCTAAAAATGTATTTGTCACAGTTTTACTGATATAGACGTGTTCACATGTAGAGTGTTTTGAATGAAAAGGTTTGTCTATATTGGATATTACAGTTTATTTCCCACAAAATTTAAGAGAAACGTTTTTTTTTTCCCCCCGAGTAGCCTTTTTGTAAGATTGTGATTACACGGATAATTCAGACCTTTTGAACTGGCACGAACAATTAACATGTCACCTGCAGTAGGCAGCTCTTTGAACGTGGAGCAGTTGAGTTGAATACCAATTAAGCTAACGGTTCAAATCAAAACCAAAGTGGTTTGTTGCCATCTTAAAACAACTTCAATCAAACTTGTCTTGGCGGTTAATGCAAATGGTTTCTTTTTAACACTGCCATCAGTTTAGCATCACAGTTAGGGTGATTACAAGTGCAAATGGCTGTAGCAGCAGCTAGCTGTAGCACTTCCAGCAGGAATGGTAAATTATTTCTGTTGGAATAACGACATAATGTGAACCTGACAGCAGTGTGAATAGTGTTTGCATGAACCTCAGTGACAATTTGGACACATTTTAAGGCAACAATTCATTTTGGAAATGGGTCTGCTCGGATTAGCCTTTATTAGCTTGTTTATACAAACGGACTATGCTTCCAAAAATAAATTTAGCCTTCTTAAAGCAAATTAAATCAACAAAATGTCATGGCAGTAGCTATATTAATTGTTCGTAACTCCTCGTCAAAATCTCTGAACCATCACGTGAAGGTGGATGAGAGGCAAGTCTCATATTTACACGTGAAACTGTGATCGTCACAAAATATTAGACTTGCAATAATTTTGAGCTTTGTTGGATATGAAACAGTTTTTTGTCACTTCTCATCATTTTTCACATTTGAATAAAAGTTGCACAACAGCTAATAATGTGTCTTCTATGTTTTAAAACCGTTTGTCGGGTTTAATTTAAATGTGGCTATGAAGTGCTAACTGTTAAACGGAAGATTGTTGTATTTTTTTTTTTTTTTGAAAAGGGGAGTTAACTGTGAGCACAAAAATAAATGTTTAAACTTTAAAGTCCATCAGTGTTCTGTCTGCTTCTCTGGGTCACGGGAAACCGGTGCCCGTCTCCAGCAGTCACTGTGAGAGAGGCAGAGTGCACCCTGACGGGTCCACGTCCATCACCGAGACACACGAGACAACTAGTCGTGCTCTCGGGGACAATCTGGAGTTAGACACTCACCTAACCTGCATATTGTTGAGTCTGTGGGAGGAAACCAGTACATAGAACTCAGAGAAAGATAAAAATCCATCAGCTACAAGTTTCTTATGTGGCGTGTGTAGAAACAAGAAGCTTGACAAGTTTATCTGTTTTAACCCTCATCGTATTGTCCTTTAACTGTATTCATGTTCCTTAAGGGAAAACTTTATTTAACTGCTTCAAATACAATTTATTTATATTTTATTCCACAAAAAACTACTAATTTTTACAGAAATGTGTTGCTGTCGAGGAAAAAAAATTAAATTTTGACTTTCGTACATTTTTTTTTAGAGCTATACCAGTCCAAAATAAAAATATAATTTTTTAAAATATATATTTTAACTTTTTAAGAGCCTTAAAAATACCACATTTAAGTTTTTATTTTATATTTGATGGCAGTGTTTATATATATATATATATATATTTAAAAAAAAAAAAAGCATTTTTCCCCCATTATTTCACCTAAAATGATTTTTGATTATATATAATTATAATTGTGGACTTTGCATTATTTTATTTTTTAACAATATTTCCGCACACATGTCTGACTCACCATAGCAGGAAATACACGTGTTATTGTTGATTACACTTTACTTGGAGAATAGTTCATAATTATATGTTGACGTCGTTACACGGCTGATTTTCTTGCTGTAACTAAATCTCTAACTTGATCGATCCCTTCTTCCAGTTTCATGTGGCCAGAGAGATGTTTTCGACCTGGACAGCTTGTTGAGACATCAGGTCTGTGTAATGAAGGATTCCAGCTCTTTGTGCAGGTTCCAGGGTGGCGTCAACAAGCAGCAGCTGTTCATCGTCCCACTAACGAGCTCCAGGACTACAAGAGTTGCAGAAGAGCTCCTTCCCTGCTGGAGCATTACTTACCTACTGGTATTTGTGCTATCGGCCTCCTAGTGCTAATCTAGTACTAGTACTAGTAGTTTTAAGTACTGTAATACCTCGTGTTTTTCCATCACCTGTTTCCTGAGCCTCCAGTCCTGGATCTCTTGTCGCCATCTTGGACTCCTGTACCCACCTATGGGTTCCTGTATTTGTGGATCTCCTTCAGCTGCTCCACCTGCGCTCTCCAGTCCTGGACCTGACCTACCTGGATTCCTGTGCCAGTCCCACCTTCCTGTAAGACGGGGGGTGTCCAAAGTGCGGCCCGGGGACCATTTGTGGCCCTTGGAGTGATTTTGTGCGGCCCACGTTTGCAGTTTAACAACGGTGTATACTTTTGGCCCGTTGGCTTCAGAGATTGATGCAGATGTTGATGCAGATGTAGACCTCTTGTAAATTTAATGGTGATAACTTTTTATACAATTTTTAGGTTTAACAGCAAAAAAAAAAAAAAAAATCTCAAAACGAGCCATATCAAAATGTAATACAATCTTTTGGTAATAAATCATTACATACATTAAATTATAATAAATAAAGGTTAATGTTTATGAAGTTTGTAAAAGTTTTGGATTACAACAACTTAGAACACCATCTCAACTAGAACTACTCTGTTTTGTCCATTCTCCAAAATATTAACGTTTTTACGTTGTGTTAAAATAAATCACTAAAAATAAGTACACTTTTTATTTTTCACAGAAACATGACACCTGATACTTTAATCAGCAAATGTTACTTGTTATCAATTATGATTTATTTTCTCCTTGAATGAGTTTTGTGCTGTTGAAACTGTCTTCACTGTTCTTAATCATTCAACAGCTGAAGAGCAAGTTGTACAGTTTTTATTCATTTAACACGGACCAGCACAGTTCAGTTTTGCCCAGCTCCTCCAGTAAAGCTGCTTTTGATGCTCCTGGTTTACAATAAACATTTTAAATTAAAAACATCTATACACACGAGCAGTGAAATTTTTTATGTCAAAAAGCCAAGAGTTCATAATTCTGATATAACAGACACACGACAGCTTACATTTTTATTGCATACATTTTCAGATGATGCAGGATAAAAATAAAAAAAACAGCCTTTAAATTGTGAATATATTAAATAGTCTTAACACCGTATAAAGGAAGCAGTTGTGTAAATCTTTCCACCCAACATTACGTAGTAATAAAAGTGTAAATCTATTAAGGACGAAGCTTTCTTTTATTATTCCCACTTCAATTTAGCCTCTAATTAAATGTCTCCAGTAAAGAAGGGACTTCAGTCAGCAGAATAATGCGAGCGCATTCATCGGATAATACAGTACACGTGTTCAGTACATGTGAAAAACTACATGCAGCTGCGAGATCAGGTGCTTCACACATTTCTGTTCATGGTTTTCACCAACACTTGTGAACAAGTCATGCATCAGATCCCAGTTCCTGAGCAACGGTCCGTTTCACTGCTTCAGAACGAGGAAGTTCTGTGAAGGATTACAGTTGGTGCCGTGCACGTTTCAACACGGGCAACCAAAACGTGCAGGTTATCGCAGAACGTTGTTTATTAGCAGGATCTACTGGGACTACCGTTAAAGATCACTGTGTAAAATCCAAAAAGTTAACTTTAGATCATTAAACAACAAATAAACTGCTGATAAATGTCACTAATGTACAATAATATGTTTTCAAATAAAACGCTCGACTCAAGGGAAATGGAAATATATGACTAAATATTAAAGTTGAGCTCATCTCATATTCACAACGTCTGAAATACTTGAGTTTGACAAGTTTCTCCTAAATCATCACCAACAAGGTAAAAACAGGAACCTGAACCTAAACGATAAGAAAAATCCAAAGTTTGGTTTAATAACCGTGTACCACCAAAAGTCAGGTTAAAGTGCTGCCTCATATTTATTACACAAACAGTCGAGATAAAAATATCTGCTCTGCAAGTGCAAACTACAGTATTTTCACAGCAATCGGATTGAACGTCTGTAAAAAGAATAAAGTAAAAATAAGCTAGTGGTGTAAAGGAGAACGCTGGATAAATAACGATGATTACAGACACCACAGCAAAGCCAAGTCGTTAAAACGAAGCGGGACCAATTCGTCCCGAACCCTCGAAAAGGAAAATCTGTCACCGAGTTCCTGCGCTGCGTTAAACACCGCTCCACATAAAGCACTTCTGTGGCACGTCACGTGGAGTCTATAAATATGCAGAGGCATTGTGCAAAAAACTACCGAACAGCTTTAAACGAGGAAACTTTTAACAGCTTGAAACATTTGCCCAAAACGGGAATCTGGTGCGTAAACTTGGATAAATGTGCGTATTCGCTTCTTACGTTTCCTCTTTAACCCTTGTGTACTGTTTGAGTCAGCGGAATGAAAAGGTCACAGAACGGTTCCGTATCGGTGGCGGAGCGACCGCAGACCCCGCCCCTTTCGTTTTGATCTGGGTCGTTTTGACCCGAAGGAGAAGACAGAAGCACCAGATCGTCCGGGGTCTTTCGAACCGAACGGACACCGAGTCGGCCAGATCAGGTCATTTCAACCTGCAATAATGAATTACAACCCAGGGTTCTGACCTTAACCATGAGGGTTAAGGTCAGAACTTCCATTGGGATAAAGAATCATCTGTTGTTCCTCAAAACGCTGCAATGAAACCAGCATGTCTGGCATCTAGTCCCAGTACAGTGTGTGTGTGTGTGGGGGGGGGGGATTTAGATTAAAACAAAACGGCGACTGAATAGTTCTTATAAGGAGGCGTCGGTGAGCTACAGTAAAAAAGTATTTCTCGTCATTAAAAGTTTGAGGTTGGCCGACTCAGACATAAAAATCTGGAACTCCCAAAGAAAACAAGCATTTTCCAAAATGCCAAATAATTTGTGATATTTATTAATTAAATATAACCTCTCTCTCATCCTGTTCTCATCAGTGAAAAGCAAAGTGAGTTTGGAATAGGGTTTGTTTGATAAAGTGCTAAAATAACCCAGGTCTCCTCATATATCTAATATATCTATATGTTAATGTCTGTTTATTTATGTTGTCTAGTGTAAATTAAACGTACAGTCTTATTAAAGCAAACACATTGAACACCTAAAAGACGCCACGTTTATAACACTTGAGCTGCAAACAGGATCCTGTGACTTTTAGGAGCTAAAAGCCCACGAAGTCTTAACTCCAGGGCGTCACTAAAACTTACAATGAAGATCAAAAGTGAAGTTTCCTCGGTGAAATAAACGTTTTGTGTGTCAGCAGGTTAAGTGTGGGTCATCTCCCTTACGATGCTCGTGCTCGGTGTGTCAAGGCCTGTGCGGGCAGCCCGCCTCGTCAGCCAGGTTGAGGATGTAACTGGCCATGTCGTTCTCTGTGGGGAAGTCGGACATCACCCACGATTCGTTGGCAGCCGTCACTTGCAGGCGGCAGATTGGACAGTTTCGGCTCTGTCCGCTCCTGAACAAACGGGGAGAGCGTTTGGAATAATTACGTTAGTATGAATGAAATGACTAAAATGTGTAGGTTCCAGCTTATTGTAGCACTTCACCATTTATCGATGCATTTCTGACAGAAGCTGTGCGCACAGGGCAGGATGAGGTCGGCCTTTCCATCCATACAGATGCAGCACTCCTCCTCGTCAGTCAGCTGCTTCACTCTGCAACAGAACACACACACCCGGGAAAACGGTTTCACTTATTTCAAAGCAAAACATCGAATTATTATTAACGTTTCAAACTTAACACTGATACTAAAATAAATACTCAGTGTGTGGTATGAATTTCAATAACGCAAAAAAAAGAGTAGTAGTGAACGACAAAACAATCAAAATGAATCAATGAGGTCATTGAAGTAGTGTAAAACTAAAATCATTTTATGCTGAGATCTCTATTAGTGCTCAGAGTATGTTGTAAGAGTGACTTTCAGCTACTACCACTCCCAACTTTAGCTCAATATTGGTAATTTAGACAAAGTTAAAGCCATTTTTGTGTGGACTAATGTTGATTAGCTGAAGTAGCCATCTTAAATTAGACAGACACAAAGGTTTGTTAGTTGTAAATGTACATCCAAAGTACTTTCATTAAAAGCTGTCCAGTGGTTCATGAAATATTTTGCTAACAAACAGCGTTGACTCTAAAAGTTAATGTCAAAAGTTTTAAACAACGATATCATGTGATGTGCTGTGTTTGGACAATGTGAATTGTTCTCAGCTAATTTGAGCTAAAATTAGCCCCCAGTGTTGACAACGGCTCTTGGCTTGAACAATGCAGTGTCCACTGGCATCAGAAGCAATTGTAATGTGTGTGTGTGTGTGTGTGTAAGTGTGTGCGTGTGTGTGTGGGGGGGGGTCCTCACCCAGAAAATTTTGAACAAGGTAGCTGCTACTTCCTACATTCTGGTGTATTTCCTACATTCTGTGTATTTTAACACAAATTTTAAACATCTAGTTTTACCTACACAAGTAAACACTTGATTCAATAACCATTTTAGAGTTAATGGCACAACAAGAAGTAACCTGACCAACAGCTCTCCTTGTGTGACTAGAGCACGCGCTGCTTCTCTCACGTATCCTAACAGCCCCCACCCCCACGCACACACACACACACACAGCTCCTACAGGTAAGGGGCGTTTGCGTTTCATTTCATGGCATCGAGGATCCGACTCATGCAAAAATAAAAATCAGATTTTACTGGCCTGTTTAAGTGTTATCCTATTTATTCCAAATTTATTCTATATTTTGGTGAATCTAAGGTTTGAGAACTGAACTTCTTTACAAAATCCCAATGATGGTTTCTTTATTTTTCAGGGGTGCTGAGTTAAAATTCATGGGTGCTTCAGCACCCCCAAAAAAGGCTAAAATCACCACTGTCAATTAGGATCGCTTTTTTTTTTTTTTTTTTTTAATTAATTAAATCATCTGTGTCCTGACCTCCCCATCCACATGCTGGCCTGGCAGGAGTCTGTGGAGGGCAGCTGGGCTGCCGGGTCCTTGATGGTACCTTCTGCTGTCAGCACCTCAGCAGCCTGACTGGTTATGTCACGGTATAACTGGATGAACTGGTACAGGTTCATGATTCGCGTCGCTTCCACCGTACCACTTTCTTTGTTGATCTACGAGGAGAGAAAAGCAAGAACATTTCTCAGTTTCAGTCCCGCCTACGTGGATTTTCCCAACCATCAGCTGTGTTTGCTTCAAGTGAATTGTCTGAGTGTAGGAAACTTCTTCTTTCCTTAATGATGAAAGTAAATGAGGTCAAATCCTGTGATGACTACAGTCTGACAAAATGTTCCAAATCACATAAAAAGCTTCTCTTGTTTGAAAGAACCTCTCTTTGACAGAGGAAGAAAAGAACATTCATTTGTCTTAAATCATTTATAAAAGTGATCATATAAAACAGACTGTAAACAAAAACTCAAAATAACTCTTTCTGCCACACACTAACATGTAGTTTGACTTTCATCTGTCCCCGTCTCACATAAATGAGGCGTGTTGGCGTCACCTCCTCTTGGCAGTGTGTCTCACCTTGGTGCAGACGATCCTGACAGCTACCTTCCACAAGGCCGAGGCGTCGGAGCCGGGCTGCACTTCGAACAGCAGGTGTTTCTGCTGTCCAGCAGCTAACTTGGCCGTTCTGAGAGGACAGACATCGATGTTCAAGTCTGCAGTGTTTTTACTGCAGTTTCCAGCAGCAGTGAGCGCTGCAGGCGTACAAGCGCTTGTGCACAAACAATTCAAAAGGACGTTGAATCAATAAATTTGGTGAAATATAGTAAATTAAAACACTCATAATAAAACGGTCTTTATATTATCATGACGCATCCGCTAATCTGTCATCAACTACACTTTGTTCAGTTTGTGTTTCCGTGTTTTGGTCAGAATGCAACAAAAAAACAAAATGTTTATACTGGTTCATTTAATAGAAGTGTGAAAATCCACAATTCTCTCTTTATTTATTTTTTTTTAATCTGAGAAATAATATGCTGAAATTAATTTAGCAGAAATAACATCTATTGCCTGTGGAATAAATGATTGACCAGTGTGAAAGCTCACTCTCGACAGTTCACCCTTTTAAACTGGTCCCCTACATTTAATTATAGGTTTTATTCGATAAAAGTGAAACAACCTTAAACGTTGAACAGGCTGCGACTTACACGTCGTTAAGCTCAGCCACTCTGGCCAGAAACTCCTCGTAGGTGACATAACCACTGTCACGCACCAGCCCAGCATGTTTCACCAGCTTCTCAGGCAGATGGCTCATGACCGCCTGACCTGAGATCTGCTGGCCCATCCTGAAAGCAGCAGCACTTACAGAGAACAGAACCTCATTCACTTCTGAGGATCCTGTTGAAAAACACAAAACATCTACTAGTTAGTCAGGACTGTCTGTTACCAGCTAACGTACCCAGTGTTGTTTTAACTGCAGAAAACTGAGCTGTCGTAGAATTTATATTTTCTGTTTTAAAATAGAGTATGGAACAATTAACACAAGTTCTCCTGATGCATGCTCAATAATCCAGGTAGGAAAATCTAATTAAGTCTGGTCCTCTGGACATTCAAAAAACAAAACAAAGCAAAACAACAACAAAAATCTAGAAACGTTTCGTCTTTCGAGGAAAGACTTCCTCAGTCTGAGGCGCTGTATTCAGCTCAGTCTTATAAATAGCACCTTCTCAGAGTGGATCAACCCGTGTGCTGCCCTACATTTGCCAAGTTCTGTGATGAGTTTATATTAATGTGATAACAGATTCAAACATCAAGCAAACAGTAAGATGAGTAAACACTACTGATCAATTACAAAATTACACTGCCTGACCAAAAAAAAAAAAAAAAAAAGTCACCACCTGGATTTAACTAAGCAAATATGTACGAGCCTCCTATTGGATAATTACTGTGTGGTCGGTTATCTTTCAGCTGCAACAAGTTATTTAACTCCAACTGGTGCAATGAGTTGCTTCTCATTTCTTAAAGAATCACACATGGCGTGGTCGTGGTAAAGATGTCAGTCTGTTTGAGAAGGGTTAAGTCATTGGCATCAAGCAGAGAAAACATCTAAGGAGATTGTAGAAACTACTAAAATTGGGTTAAGAACTGTCCAACACATTATTAAAAACTGGAAGGATAGTGGGGACCCATCGTCTTCGAGAAAGAAATGTGGTTGCAAATGGGCGCATCAGGGTAAGAAGAGAGGCGGGTGAAGTGATGCACCCATCTTGCCTACTGTCTAGTCATCAGTGCAAGATCTTGATGAAAAATTAATGCAACACTGGATGGAAATAGATCTTGTGAGTTGCAGAAGCTTATCGAAACAATGCCACAGAGAATGCATGATGTAATCAAAGCTAAAGGTGGTCGTCCAATGAAATATTAGTGTGACCTTTTTTTTATTTTTGACCATGCAGTGTAAAACTAAAGCCAAACCAATATATCGATAGGGCCAATATTTTAAGTCAATATAGGCGTTTGGGGACCTATATAATTATCTGTGATAATCGTCCCATCATGTGCCGATACACACACTGGGAAAAAGCGTAACTGTACAATGTATCCAGCAGAGGGTGCATGCACACTACTTTCAAGTCATGGCCGTTCACTTTAACATTCACTTTCAGCTCAGCTGAAGCAGGGAGCAATACTACTGTGTAGTGTATTTTGCTGAACAGAGCATGGTAAGTTTATTGTAACTGATCTGTAAAATAAAATAAAAAATCAGCAATAATTAATTCTCTTCAATCCTCCAACCCACTTGTCATTAGCTACGTGCCTCTCAAGTTAGTAAGCTAATGTTTAGATAACCTAGCATAGGCTATTGCCTTGAAAAACTTTATTCAGAAGAATAAATCTCAAGATAATATGTATATATATATATCAGTGTTAGTAACATTATTTTTTCATCCTCAATGAAATGCATTGTTTGAAGTCTTTACTTCTCTGCAAATCACAGAAATGCTGCTGCAATCAACACTAATTAGACCTTCACCATAAGTGACTGTGTAAACAATGAACAGGGAAGGGCACTTCTTTGTTTATTTATAATTTTCTAACACGACTGATCATTTTATGGTGAATATTGGAGGACAAGAATGTGAACGCATGTTAGGAAGACTGTTTTTATGACCAGTGCACCACTTGTAAACCTAGTGCAACCTTCATGGTTGCTGCGCTAAATTCAATTCAATTCAGTTTATTTATACAAAGCCAAGTCACAACACAAGTTATCTCAGGACACTGAACAAAAACATTCACAAACATTACAAATGCCAATTAATAAAGTTATCTATCTTATGAAGAAAGGAAGGAAGTCAGCAGATTGCATAAATAAACAAGGCCTGCTCCACTCGCCGGTTACTTACATTCTTGGGGATGGAGAAAGCTAAAAAACATTTCAGCTACTACCGGTATTGGTTATCAGTGGGTGCACTGCCTTCCCCTTCCAATACTGGTATCAGCAGCAATAAACAAAATTTCCATATCGTCGGCTCTACTTGAAACATTTAACAAGTTTGCTGCCTTGCAGCCATCAGCCTTGCTGAACTTTCATCACAATGTGGTTAATCCAGCCATGCTGTGCTTCCATACATGCACTATTCACATCACACAGAAAGATTAATATTGTTTTTATTCTTTGGCTAATTTAGTTTGGTTTTCATCACACAAGAATGTGATCATTTGAGTTTAACATTGAAGTAAAATATGGTCATTCAAATTGTCATTCTGCTTATTTCTATTGCACCAACTCAAAACAAAGGTCAGTGCATATAAACACACTAAATGTATCTCGAGGATTCAAGGATTCAAGGTTCTTTATTTGTCATTCGCACCCCATATGGTACATGTGGTGGAACGAAATTATGTACACAGGGTCCCAGTTACATCCAACAATAAAATGTAAAAGGAAAACAGTAATAAGCTCTAAGATATGAAACAAGAAAAACATCAATTAAATATACACTAAGCACTAGTAGCATAAAAACATCATGCCGAACAGCAGCACGAACATGAGTCTGTGTGAGCAGATGAACAAAACACATCAACATGAAACAGATCAGCAGCAACATTTAAACAGATCAGCAGCAACATGAAACAGATCAGCAGCAACATGATGTGATTTTTCACAGTGATTATCCTGGTTAGATATTCATGAGTCTAACAGCCTCAGGGTAGAAGCTGTAACTACAATAAAGAAAGATTTTAGTACTATGACATCATTTTATGAGTATAGTTGTAAACTTAAGAATATGATAACCCGGCATGCTGTATCTGAACTTTAAACTGTAAAGTTGAAATAGGTTTGATCCAGAAGAATGCAATAAAATACCATCTCAGCCGGGTCTGATTATATCATGTGTCAGATTTATTTTTTATTTCAAAACGCGCGCGCGCTAACACACACACACAAAGACTCATTCTATGGTTAAAAAAAATACACAAAAATTTGTGAATTTAATATCAAATATGTACTTGCCATAATTTGACTACGATAACGGTGATGCTAAATCAAAATTGTTCAGCTGTTACAGATTTTGAAATTTAATGTTTGGATTACAGTATATTCACCAACGCTTTCATAAAACATTTCCTGTCCAAGAATAATTTCCTCAATTTTTGCTAACCTTTATTTCTTTGGAAAAAAACAACACCTACAATATCTGAAGGACTGTATGCTGCCCATCCATCCATTCTCTTTTAACTGCTTCTTCCTTTTTGAGTCGCTGTTTATAGCAATTTTTTAACTAAAAAAATTAAAATGATTAAAAATAGATAAATAAAAAAACAGAAATTTCGATTAAAAGTGATACGATTGACCTGAATCTGTTGTACTAACAAAAAGAAAGAATACTTCCTTGTTGTTGGGCTTGGAACTCACTAAATTATCAACATGGCTAACTTTTCAGTGTGAATTTTTCCGACATGACTACTGAATAGCTGAGGTAATGCTGTCTGACCAGATATACGCCTTTAAAACATTTTAATACTTCATAAGAGAAAATCCCGGCAGGTCAGTAGCGCTGAGCCAACGAGAAGCTTTGCTCGGAACTTCATCATAAAACAGGTTGTTTTGTTGAAAATGCTAAACTTTCTCATTTGAAAAAAAAGGCATTGTGATTTGTTAAAACGTTGTTTAAAAATAACTCACCAGATTTTTAACCCTACAGGTTTAAGGGTTTAAACTCTGCTGATAGCTCTTCGTTAGTTGTTGTTGTTGTTAGCTGTACCAAAAAGCGGCGCAGAGTCATGACATCACGGCTCGTCGTTTATTATTGACGTCATACATTTGTTTTTGTTTTTTTTAACATGCTTTTTAATACAAAGCTGTATTTTTGCATACTGTTGTGGAATAATATTTGTTCCTTTTAGAATCTGACTCCTAATTCT